GCAGCTTTTTGGGTTTAGCTGGATATTACAGGAAGTTCATTCAGGACTTCTCGAAGATTGCGACGCTGATTACACGCCTTACGAAGAAGGGTGTACAGTTTATATGGAGTATGGAGTGCCAGCAGGCATTCGATATTTTGAAGACTAAATTGACTATGGCGCCAGTTCTGACTATCCCGACCAGTGACAGGACATTCGTTGTCTATACAGATGCATCGTTGGCAGGCTTAGGAGGCGTATTGATGCAGACTCAGAGGGTAGGAGCCTATATCTCTCGACAGTTGAGGGTGCATGAGCAGAACTATCCCACTCATGACTTGGAGTTAGCAGCGGTGGTGTTTGCATTGAAGTCATGGAGGCACTACTTATATGGAGTACAGTTTGAGTTATTCACAGACCATCAGAGTCTGAAGTACCTCTTTTCTCAGAAGGAACTCAATCAGAGGCAGAGGAGGTAGATTGAGTTTATCAAGGACTACGAGTTCGCGATTCAGTATCATCCAGGGAAGGCGAACGTCGTAGCAGATGCTTTGAGTAGGAAGCGTCGACATCGGGTTGCGGCTTTGAGATGTTCATTGTACAGAGACCTTATCACTCTTAGTCAGTTTGATTTTAGACCCGACGTTGGAGGAACCAGTGCATTTTTGGGAGCTGTATCAGTGCAGCCATCTTGGAGTGACAGAGTTGTCAGAGCTCAGTCGGGAGACTCTTGGATTCAAATCCGAAAGGAGGAGATTTCCAAGGAGCCTAAGGCTGATTGGACCATTGGAGCAGATGGAGGCCTACGGATGAAGGGTAGGTTGGTTATGCCAGCTAGTGCAGAGCTGAAGAGGGAATTATTTGATGAGGCGCACCGTACTCGGTACACAGTACATCCAGGGACCACAAAGATGTACAAGGACCTGAAGAGACATTTCTGGTGGAGCGGCATGCGTAGAGAGGTTGCAGACTATGTGGCTAGATGTTTCACCTGTCAGCAGGTGAAGGCAGAGCATCAGAGACCGGTAGGGATTTGAAGAGATATTTCTGGTGGAGCGGTATGCGTAGAGAGGTTGCAGACTATGTGGCTAGATGTTTCACCTGTCAGCAGGTGAAGGCAGAGCATCAGAGACCGGTAGGGACACTTCAGCCCTTGCCTATTCCGGAGTGGAAGTGGGCGGATATTTCCATGGACTTCATAGTGGGATTGCCGAAGTCAAAGAAGGGGAATGATTCGGTTTGGGTGATAGTGGACCGGTTGACGAAGTCAGCCCATTTCATCCCGGTGAGGACCACTTATACAGCTGAGTCTTATGCGAGGATCTTCATTCGGGAGATAGTTCGACTTCACGGAGTGCCAGATACGATCGTATCAGATCGGGGATCGGTTTTCACTTCACACTTTTGGAGGAGTTTTCAGGACTCATTTGGCAGCACGCTATCTTATAGCAGTGTATTTCACCCCCAGACGGATGGCCAGACAGAGAGGGTGAATCAGGTGTTGGAGGACATGTTGCGGGCATGTGTCATTGACTTCCAAGGCAGTTGGGAGGATCATATTCCACTAGCAGAGTTCGCTTATAACAACAGTTATCAAGCGACGATCGGTATGGCCCCGTATGAAGCATTGTATGGGAGACCTTGTAGATCACCGATATGTTGGGCCGAGCCGGAGGACAGCTTGATGCTTGGGCCAGAGCTAGTGAGGCAGACTACTGAGAAGGTAGCTTTGATCAGAGAGCGGATTCTAGCCGCTCAGAGTCGGCAGAAGAGCTATGCAGATAAGAGGCGAAGACCCCTAGAATTTCAGATTGGGGATCAGGTTATGCTGAAGGTATCGCCTATGAAAGGCGTACAGCGATTCGGGAGGCGAGGGAAGCTTGCACCGAGATATATTGGACCTTTCCGGATTTTGGAGTGCATTGGAGCTGTATCATACAGACTAGATCTTCCAGCTTCTATGTCTAGTATACACAATGTATTCCACATTTCTATGCTCAAGAAACACTTGCACGATGAGGAGCGGCAACGAGTGTTGGATGCACCGGAGATCGAGCTTAGGGATGATTTGTCGACTATTGAGATTCCAGTGGCCATACTTGCTAGAGAAGACAAGAGACTCAGGAACAAGGTGATTCCATTGGTAAAAGTTCAATGGAACCGAAGTGGAGTAGAGGAAGCTTCTTGGGAGCGCGATGAGGACATGCGATGCGACTACCCACACTTGTTCGAGTAGGTAAAACCGATATGACTTCTTACTTGAATAATTATATTATGTTTTGATACTTATATTTAACACTAGAATGAGGGTACTTTTACTTAATTCTTAATCTTTCGGAACACGTGGTATATACATGGGGGGTTCCTTGTTTGGATTTTTCGCCCGACGTACTAGTTCCGTTAGATTAGGGGTTAGGTAACAATATCATCATTTTAGATCGTTAAATATGAATATCGCTGTGTGCTAACTAGAATTCGGTATTATAAAATGTGTATGTGTGCGGGTTAGATTTAACCCTTGTCATGTCTTTCTTGTATCTTTATGAGTTAGATATGATTTCTGAATTTCGAGGACGAAATTCCTTTAAGGGGGGAAGAATGTAAGACCCCGTAGATTTTGATCATGTTTATGTGCATCAGTAATGGGTTTGAGTGTGCAAATTTCATTATATGCAGCAGAACCATCATATGCAGTTTTTAGTCCATGAGTCGACCCATGATTTTCATGAGTCGACTCACGAAATCGAGTCCTGTTGCCTTTTGTTTCTGCTGAGTCGACTCATTATGTTACGAGTCGACCCAGGAAGTCATGAGTCGACCCATGACTGTGATGAGTCGACTCATTGAGGATTTTTCCAGTTTTCTCAGTTTGGGTTTGTTGGGTTTCGGGTCGGGTTTTATCCACTTATATATATACTCCCCTACCCGAAATCACCTCATTTCCATCAGTTTTCCCCAGAAACCCTAGTCCCCCTCTCTCCTCTCTAAAACCCTAGGTGTTCTTGGAGATTTTGGGGCGTTTCGAAGGCTTTCTCAGCGGCTTTGTGAGGATTTCAGAGAAGGGATCTGTTCTTCATCATTTCTCAGGCGAGTAACATCTCGCCAAACCCCTCTCCCACGTTTTTAATAGTTTACAATGGTTTTCCATGAGTTTTATTGAGCCCAAGACTTATTTTCAAGTATAAAACAATGTTCTTGTTAGGGTAGATGCTAGAAATCATGTGTTTCAGATTTTAAATCCCCACCCACGAATTTTTGAAGAAAAACCCAGATCTGGAAATATTTCTAAGAAATAAAAACATGAGTTTTCTTTTTGATCAAATGCCCTTTTTCATGTTTAGGGGTAAATTGTTAGATTTAACACATAAGTAAATGTTCCTTATGCTATATGTGAATTTATCTCTGTATCATAGTCTAGAATTGATGGTTATAAAGATGTAGATTAGTGAATTAGAGGGAAGAATCGTGTTGGTGAATTTAACTTGTATTATATGCAGATTTCAGCCCGTAGGTCGACTCACGACTCATCACGAGTCGACTCATCATGTTGAGTCGACTCATGACTGTCATGAGTCGACTCACGAAGTCTTGTTGTGTTGCATATTGTTTCTGCTGGGTCGACTCGTCAGTATATGAATCGACCCATAAGCCATGAGTCGACCCATGACTGTCATGAGTCGACTCACAGAGTCCTTTTCTGATATCAAATGTGTTCTGTTGAGTCGACTCATATTTGAGTACGAGTCGACTCATCATAGTATTTTCTTTCTGTTTCGTTCATGCTTCTGTTTAAATTACATGTTGGGTGTATATAAGTATTTATGCATACGGTGATTATGAATTCACCTGTTCATGTGAGATGATACTTTGAACACGAGTTTAAGTCAGTACAGCAGAGTATGTACGGGAATATAGACATGTATACTTTTGGTACGCAGTCCTCGTGTTGGACTATAATCCATTAAAGTCCTCGTGTTGGACTATAATCCATAGAAGTCCTCGTGTTGGACTATAATCCATTTTAGTCATGTATTAGACTTTTGCTAAACCTTGAGCACGTTATTCAATAAAGTTGGATATACGACACATTGTATTTGGCCGGGACATGATAGCTACCTAGGTTGATCATGGCACCTATTGTAGCCTTGTTTCACTTACATGTTATTGGTAGAGATGGGCATGTTTTCCTTTTCCTTATTTTTTTTCTTGTAACTAGCTTCGGGTTTTGTACTTAGGGATCTACAATTTGAGATACAAGGTATATACATGAGGGTTTCCTTGTTTGGATTATTTCGCTCGACGTACCTATGCTCGTGTTGTATTTCCCTAAGTACTAAGACCCGTTAATGTTTGTATAAATGATTTATATTACATTGTATTAACTGTATTTTCATATACAACGAGCCCTATCCCTTGGGGTTGGTTGTGATGTTGCTCGCTAGCGCTTTGACGCTCATTGTCCCTCCCCCTTTCAGGTAACGAGCCAGGAGCCCGGAGAGTCGCAGGTTGAGGACGACCCTTACTAGTGTCTACTATCCTCTTTTTTAGATGTATTTATTTTTTTGTACTCCACTTGAGATGTTTTAGACTTGAGAGATTTATGTTCTAGAGTTATAAAGGCTGTTTGCCTTATTTCTTGTATTAAACATTATGTACTTTGAGACATGTTGAGCTCTCCAGATCTTTATTATTCATTTCGGACTTTGACTGTGTGCTTCAGCTTATTTTTGATTGATGAGATGTGTTTATTTGAGTCCTATCACTCCATTAAGCAATTGTTGTATAACCTTTTACTTGCTTTGTACTACACCTGTTTTTGATTCCACTAGAGAGATAGTAATTGTGATGGTGAAACATGTTATTGCATGGTGTGGTGCATGGCAGGTTTGACATCTCTGGTTTCACTTCGGACTGCAGCCTTGTGTGAACCCAGGGGCGTCACAATATATATTGTAATGAATCGTTCTTTTAATTATGTGATATGCTATGATCTTGTTGTATATGATTAGTTGTATTTATTACTCTTTGTTATGTTTGAGAACCGTTAGAAATTCATGACTAATGTGGCCTGGTGTGTCCTGTGTAAGATTTAGAAACCTATGTATATGTTAGCTTAGAAAAACAAGAGAGTTGGGATGGGGAAGTTAATGTTCATGTGATCGGATAAGACTGTTGATGTATCTTCCAGACTAGAACCAGTGAACCGTTTCGCACTGGGGTTAGTTTGGCTAAAGTGAAGTGTGTACATCACTTTAGTCAGTGAAATCGTTTCGTCACTCGGGTTCTGTTTGAAGTTCGAACCAGGCAGAAAACGGTTTACGTGTAGTCCTCTAGGCCGCATGTGTAGCGGGATTGGATGCACGTAGAGGATTTGTGAACAGTCAGTTATCCGATGATATGAGCGTTGGCTCTGTGTGAGATATGAACCAGTGACCTGTTATAGGATGGCTAGTTACATGACTTGTTACCAGTGGATCGGTGTCGCCACTGGAGTTGGTTTGTTGGATCAAGGTGAATCAGTGTCGTCACTTTGGTTAGGATTTATGGATTCTTGTGAGATATATAGGCCAGTTGTGTTTCTTTTCACATATAGATCGGGATTGATATTTAATTATCTATAATTTGAGACATATGATATATACATGAGGGTTTCCTTGTTTGGATTATTTCGCTCGACGTACTACGTCTCTTGTTGTAGATTTTTAAGTATTAATTCTATCTAGTTGTATGACCTTGTTAGTTGGATGATTGTTCTGATCATTAGTTGCATGATTGACTTGTTACTTGATTGATTTTGTGGAATTTCCAGTTGCACGTCCTTTTGTCATTTCTATTATCGTATCGTTTTCCGCTTTGGGTTTTTAATCGTTTTGTTTCTTTTGTGGGGTCTTGCCGTGTGCCATGCACCCTGACGTACACCTATTTTTTCTGGTGTACGTCAGACTTAGAGGAAGAACATGTCCAGCTGGGAGATCGCCAGGAGTCAGAGGATTCTCAGCAAGAGTGCCTTACAGACGTAGCAGAAGAAGAAGCTGAAGCTTAGTCATTCCTTTCAGTTTGTTTTGTAGCACTTTCAATCCTTTCGTTCAGTATATATTTATATTCTCTAGTATTTCATTTAGATAGTTTTGTATAAGGGCATGTTGACCCGAATACTATGTTTGGGATGAATATTCATCGTGATATGTATTATTTTATTCTGTGTTGTTCATTATATTCTTGCTGATTGTGATCGGGGACATGTGCCTTTGCATTGTATTATTTCCAGACGCTTAGCGTATTGGATTGAGGAGAAAAGAAAAAAAAAGATAGTGTATATTTCTTCTCAATCTAATACATCGCGGGCGTGTTCACGTTCCGATTCCCCGGTATTTTGGGAAGCGGGGCGTGACAAGTTTGTTGTGAAAAGTGTTTATGGTTATCATGATAAGATTATTTTCAATACATACAAATTTATTTGTGCTCGTTATATGATGTAATCTTTAATTATATAAAACTTCGGATGTAACATGAGCAAATAATAATTTTGTGCTCGTTATATGATGTAATCTTTAATTATATAAAACTTCGGATGTAACATGAGCAAATAATAATATCCCAAATGAATTATAAATTTTTGTTTGTATTAATAAAATCATAAAAACTTTGAAATAATATGAATCAATTGCTATGAATTATGTACGTGATTTGATTTGAAATATACATGGCTCAGATTGGAAAAAATCACACAAAATTTGTTCTAATTATTCATTAATTTACGTAATTAAGTTGCATGAATCATGAATCATGAAACCTATAAATATGTATATAACATAGCAAATAGCCATAAATATATATATAATAATCAGCTATGACCATCTATACAACCCCGATAAATTAACAAACCTATAAAAACTTGTAATATTATGATTTGTTACAACCATTTATACAAGATTTTATCCGCATACAAAGTTTCTAAATTAGCTATGAGCATCTATACAATCCCGATATAACTTTTACAATTGGTATTCTTAAAGGTATCTCTAGACTTTCATGCAACAACGTGAGGTTTAATTTGTTGGTAGTTTAGAAGCATGAATAGTAAGCATGAATTTTCAATTTTGTCTCTATACCAAGTGGCTATATTGGAGCCTAAAGGTATTGTTTCAGATGTATAAATTTTTTGAGAAAAGCATGACAGATTCAGAAAAAGAAATAAACATGAAACAATAATGCTAATTACCATATGATTGAATT